ATTGTGAAACATAAATGAATGTCTTTTACATGTCAAAATGTCTGTTTTGAAATATTTTTTAAACCTTTTGCTAAGATGTGGATGTGAAACTTGCCACACTGATATTTTTGTTGAGACTCTTAAGTAATGGTATTAAGAACTGATTTTTGATGATTAGAGTTTGATACATAGGAAATGTATATAATAAAAAAATTATAAGAAAAATCTGCTTATGATTGATGTTGATTTGTCATTACTAGGGCCAGACCGAATCTGCAGATTTTTTTTTTTTAGCTATTTCTGTGCACAATTTTGTAAAAATAAATAAGAAATATCTGATTTATATTGAATGATTTTTCAAGTATAAGAAATAAAACTTAACACAACTTTTATTTTTTTAAGGTTTAAAGTTATTAAATTATATAATTATTTAATGTAATATATAATATGCTGTGGGAGAATTAAATATTCAACACTTCATCATTTTTCTCAGAAAACATATTTCTAAAAATGCTGTTGACTTGAAATTTTTACCAGATTTTGATAACAAAAAAAAAAAAAAAAAAAAAAAAAAATATATATATATATATATATATATATATATATATATATATATATATATATACACATACATAAATGAATAAAAAACAAATCTAATTAGTTTACAAATAAGTTATGTGTAATAAAATAAAATGACACAGGAAAAAAGTATTGAACACAAGAAGAAAGGGGGGTGTAGAAAAACGTGGAAAGCCCAGACAGCAGCTGAAATCACTCAGAAGTTATTAAGCAAACCTCTGCCCTTCCTTATTTTTAATTAATATTAGCTTCTTCAGTCTAACATGCACATTAGCAGGAGGATGAAGATGAAACCATGGAGGACATTTCAGCAAGACATAATGGCGCCCTACAGCCAACAGTGTAACTTATACCTTCTTTTAGCATGTCCAGAAGTTCGCATCTTCCTCTGCCTTTTGGGTGTTAACGTTTGGGTACCCCCACAATGTTACGTCGACATTGTGGGGAAAAAACTTGCAAACATACGGCGCAGCACTTTAGAGTCACACTGCTAGCGATAAAAGATTTCTATAAATTTGGCAAGCTGGACGCGTTCTGTACTGTACACAATGCCCTAATCAAGACGCAGAACGTGCTGTAGAAAAAGCATGTCAAATTGCACAGAAAAAGTCTGCGAAACTATGAAAATTAAACTGGGTTATAGCGAGGGACCACTGTTATAATAAAAAAATTATAAAATAAAAGTAAATAGACCAAATAGCAAGTTTTTTGTTTATTTCTGTGGCTGCTGATTCTGTGTGGTACAGGTCATTACAGCATACAGCAGTTGTACTAATATTTTGGAGATCCACCTAATTGAATTTATAATTGTTCAATTATTTTGATTCAAAAGCAGTTATAGGCCAATAACTAGGAAATTGTTTGCGCTTTTAGGGTCTAGGGGTATAATTCTCACTTCCTGGATGAGTCCCCATTTGACAAAGCCGGCTATCAAGCATACATATGTTGGATAACATTATAAAAGAATAACATAGATTAATGTGTAATTAAACTAGGAAAAACAAAATTTAAACAACATCAGGAGGACAAGCGAGCGATCACCAACTGAAGGGAGCTGTTTTGATTTGCAGGCAACAGTCTCAAGTTCTCAGCAATAATCATGTCTCTCCTCCTAGCTGCATCCTACAAAACAAATAGAAAAAAAAATGAACATCAAAAATATGTCCCATACTGATTCATAACACTAGTAGTAAAGTTTGTATTAGCAAGAACCATCATTACATTATCAGCCTACTTATTAATGAGATGTTGATAATTGACAAATAGGCAGTGAAAAAGTTTTGAATGTTTACCATTTTGAAGACAAAATAGATATATTTATTTAGCTTGAAGTCTGTTTGACAAATTATAAAGGGTCACTTTCTTAATCAGTTCTTTTTTTGTTTTGTTAAACCTTTATTGAACTGTACATTATACATGTCCTATGGTGTGACAGCAAAAAATAAGAAAAAGAACTCTTGATAGTATACAAATAGCGTGAGGATGGTTTATTTTGCAAAGTTGGGCACTTATCTTCATATAGTTCCAAGTAGACCTAAAAATTACAAATAAATCTGTTTATATTTTACCTGCTGTGTTGGAAGCCCAGCAATTGCTCATGCATCATTTACCTCCTCACGTGTTTTAGCGCTGATGATGTGCAATATACTGGTGAGCATGTGTGTCTTCCTCTGCTTGTTAACTTATAACAAATACTTGCGATTAGTTCGTGAGATGGGGTAGATTGGCAAGTGCCGATTAAGTCATAAAATGTGATTATTGGCTGATACCGATCTCTGGCCAATTGATCGGAGCATCCCTATTCCTAAGTATTTAGACCCTTTGCTTAGTATTTAGTAGAAGCGGCTTGTTGATCTAATACAGCCACAAGTCTTTTTGGAAAAGATGCAGCAAGTTTTACACACCTGGACTTGGGAATGCTCTGCCATTCTTCTTTGGAGATCCTCTTCAATTCTGTCAGGTTGGATGGTAATCGTTGGTGGACAGCCATTTTTTTTCAGCATCTTTACATAGATGCTGGAGTCAGGACTCTGGCTGAGCTATTTAAGAACAGTCATGGAGTTGTTGTGAATCCACTTAATTTAGCTGTGTGCTTGGGGTCATTGTCTTGTTTGGATGGTAAACCTTTGGCCCAGTCTGAGGTCCTAAACACTCAGAAGAACGTTTTCGTCCAGGACATCTCTGTACTTGGCTGCGTTCATCTTTCCCTCGATTGCAACCAGTCATCCTGCCCCTTCAGCTAAAAAACTCTGCCACAGCATGATGCTGCCACCACCACATGCCAGCATGATGTTTCTCTGTTGGCACTGTATTGGACAGGTGATGAGCAGTCCCTAGTTTTCTCCACACATACTACTTTGAATTAGGGCCAACAAGTTCTATCTTGGCCTCATCAGACCAGATAATCTTATTTCTCAAAATCTTTAAGTCCTTCAGCTGTTTTTTCAGCAAACTCCATGACCCTTATTTTTTTTTTTTTTTTTTTTAGCAAACTCCATGGCAAACATCCAGGCTTTTATGTGTCAGGCCACTCTGCCACAAAGCCCTGACTGGTGGAGGGCTGTAGTAATGCTTGACTTTTTACAACTTTCTCCCATCTCTCGACTGCATCTCTGGAGCTCAGCCACAGTGATCTTTGGGTTCTTCTTTACCTCTCTCACCAAGTCTCTTCTCAGTAGCTCAGTTTGGCCTGATGATTTTTGTTTTTTTCACAGTTTTTGCTCTGACATGCATTGTGTGAGCTGTAAGGTCTTATATAGGCAGGTGTGTGGCTTTCCTAATCAAGTCCAATGAGTATAATCAAACACAGCTGGACTCAAATGAAGCTGTAGAACCATCTCAAGGATGATCAGAAGAAATAGACGGCACCTGAGTTAAATATATGGGTGTCACAGCAAAGCGTCTGAATACTTAGGATTATGTGATATTTCAGGGGTTCGTTCTTCGTACGTGGATTACTCAGTTAGCTGGATTTGGATATTGACGATTTGACACAATCCAAGATTGTTTCGTTCTACAAAGCTGATCCGAGAGTTGTTGTCATGGCAACAGTTCTGGTAGATCAAACTTGGTCGTGAGCAGGTTCAATTTATATAAACAGGATTAGATCGTCTTAGTTCAAGCAAAGATAATACAGAAAGTTTGTTCCGAATTCTGATATTTTCTTACAGTAGTAGTTATATACACTTGGGAAAATGGTAAATATTTTTAAACTATGTATATAGAGTTATAGTTATTAATAAAATAAATAAAGTTATACTTATTTATAAAACTTATGCAATCTGCACCCTCGAAATGAAAGTACGAAGATTGCCACTGGTGGTGCAAAGAGAAAACTTATTGATATGAACTTTTTAGATCGCTTTAGTACAAATTGTGTATAATAAAAATGCACAATATGTGACTTTTTTTAAAAAGCAATAATACATTAATGCAGTCATAAACATGTTTTGACAGTTAATATGCCAGTGATTATGCTTCACAAAAGTTGCAGACGCCTTTACCAATATCAAAATGCTTTTGTAAACATCCGATTAAAAAAACGGCTACTATAATAAAGAACATATTTTCTAAATTTAGAACTAAATACATTGATTTGCATTGAAATACATGATGAAGACTCTTGACACATGAAAGTGTAAAGCCTGCAGCTCACAACAAATGTGGAAGGTTATTGCGTGTCATATTGAACAAACCGTTTACTGCTCATTTGATGTAATTTAGCTCACATGGATAATTGAATATTAATCAGATGATGTCATTACGCTGATGTGCCTTCAGCCAATCGTTGCATTGCTGATCATGATTTCGAGGATCGATAGATCAGTCCTTCACAACACACGCAGCGATCTCAGATCAGTTCATCCAGACATTCTAATCTGATTCGCGAACTTGTTTGAAGAACCAAATTAGCGAGAGATCAGTTATCAAGATTAAATGATCCAGGATCTGCCAAATCATCTTAGATCATTTAAGCGTGGTAGGAAGAACGGACCCCAGTTCTTCTTTTTAAATCTGCAAACATGTTCAATGAACAACAATTCTGTTTTTCTGTCAATATGGGTTGCTGTGTGTACATTAATGAGGGACATTTTTTTTATTAAATTATTTGAGCAAATGGCTGCAATATAACAAAGAGTGAAACATTTAAGAGGGTCTAAATTCTTTCTTTACCCACTGTATATGAGACAAAAACAGTTGCACGTCATGAGCTTCACAGGAGGCTTCAGTTGCATGATTTTGAATGAATTCTTTCAACTAATTATTTTCAGTGGAATTGACCTTGTATAAAGTGATGAAAACACTTAATTCCATTCATTTTTGTCAGGTGTGACAGTGAGAATGCAACATTATGTCAACATCCCTTGTTCATGAATAAAATGCTTGTATCTTCTTTCTCTTTATGTCTCTTCTGTGATGATGGGACCGTCTCTCTCTTTCAGCTGCCTCAGGTAAGCTGACAATCTAGCATCTGCATCTGTTTCCACATACAATGTCCACACCTGTGTCCCTGTGCAGCTGCCATGTGCAGGTTTATTGCACTCTTATGACAAAGAAACTCAAAGCTGAATGTGAAACCCTGCAATCATGCACAATGACACATTCCACTTTGTGTGTCAGTTTGTACAAAAGTAAGTTTTAAGACCCTGTGATGTCCAAAACTCAAGTTTTAGGGCCTTTAGCTAATAGCCTCTTTTACACATCTTTTACAGACCTTTCTGGAAAATTACTAGCAATTTTACAGAAAGGGTTCATGTGTGAACAGATCCGTTTTGAAAATACCGGTAAATTCATTCTGGCAATTTTCCGGAAAGAGAAGTTGTAAGATGATAGGTAATTTGCCGGAATGCTGCTCTGTGTGAACGCAGAAGGAAAATTGCTGGAAAAAGCCGGTTCACGCTTGGAACTCACTGACATGAGACGTCTACTCCAGCTAATCAACATTCAGACAAATTCACATCCATGCTGTTTATGAAAATAAAAACCTTCTGAATATTTTTCCAGACACATTTATCTTCTAGATGTTAGTCAGATAATGTTACTATGTTTCTTAATGCCAACTGTGTAAAAAAAAAAAAAAATTATAAAATGCTTATGATAAACCGCTGTTTGTTTAGCTTCAAGCTCTGCTTTAGTTGCTTGGCGTGTGTGCATGTGAAGTAGCCGGTGAGCACCAGCACACACACAAATTATGTAGCATCAATAAAAGCCAGACCTCTTCTAGGTGTACAAATACAAGCGCAGCCTTTTATAGCTCGTTTCTGGTTAATGATGTAAGAATATACTAGTATTTTGGAATGAATGTGTGAATGGTCTTTTCTAGAAAATTCCGGTATGTCCTTGCCTGTATAAATAGCCCTTTTTTAATTTGCCGGTGAAGTTGTCGTGGTAATTTTCTGGATATTTACCTGTATCACTGTGTGAAAGGGGCTAATGAGTGTATGCATCCAAATTTGCTGTCTGGAAAAATAAAGTTCCTACAGTTCGGTTTTTTATTAGGTATTACAGCTAAAATATACTAAAATATAAAAAAAAAAATAAAGCCATATTGATATATGAAAAATTAAATAGCATCAGCACATTACAAATTTGCAAAAACTAATCAAAAACAAAACAAAGTGAAAACTGAATATAAAAACCATAATAATAATAATAAAAATACAAATCTAAATCCAGTGCAGCAGTGAATACACCATAAGCCAACCAAACACTATTTTTTAAGCCCAAAATCCCCAATCTCAGCCTTGCAAAAAGGGAAGTTCTACTCATCAAAAAAACTGACTGAAAAGTAAAGGAAAGATTGCAATCCCAAATTGAGACCTTAAATGTAACAATCTTTCACTATATCAAGCACTAGGTCTGGGGTCACCAATCTCGGTCATGGAGAGCCGGTGTCCCTGCAGGGTTTAGCTCCAACTTGCCTCAACACACCTGCCTGAGTGTTTCAAGTATACCTGGTAAGAACTTGATTAACTAGTTCAGGTGTGTTTGATTAGGGTTGGAACTAAAATTTGCAGGACACCAGTCATGCAGGAGCAAGTTTGGTGATCCCCAAACTAGTTTAACATGTTGGTTCAATGGTCAAATCGGCCGTCCTTTTCAGGGTACTGGTCACAGGTGCGACTGCAACTTCATACATTAGAGACCAATTTTATTTTACATTATTCCTCTAGGCTATATCAAGCTTTTTTACTATCAAGCTGTTCCACTCCAACTGAATCACATGCAAATTAATGCTAAGGTAATAAATCCGAAGCCTACTGGCACCAGTACATAACTTCCATATAACAAAAGCACACATTATTTTACACAGCTAAGAACACACAGGTTTGTAATAATTATCCTTCCAATGATGCATGGGGAAGTTTCTGATTTTGCAGAAACACTGTTCTGGAATGTGTAAAAAATAAAATAAAATTTGTGCTGTATCTGGTCTGCTGTTTCTATTTGAATTGCGCATGTGCACCAGTTATGTGCTACCCTGTTTTCCTTTATGTGAGAGACCATTTATTTGATAACAAATAACAAAAATGTTGTGTCTGTGATAGCCTAATTTTTTATATATAAAGCGAATATGACTAGGATTATTTTTTATGTCAGACACTATTTTATATTCCTTATATATTTGTATTTTTACCTGGCCAATTCCCAACCTACACTCACTGAAACAGCCTTTAGTGTTTTTTCTCAGCACATATTCTTTTACACGTCTTTCAAAATTAAAGTCATGCATCACACAAACACCCAGGGAGCCACTCACGACGCTTCTGCAACCATCCAGTTGAGAAACGCTGATATAGACAATGTCATTTACTCAGTTTAGGTTGTTTCAATTTCAGTTCATTTCAAAGAGTGTCAATCAATATTTGAACATGAAAAACAGAAACCAATCAAGGTTATTGTGGTTAACGAAAACTGAAAAAAATGAAAACTAGAATTAAAAAAAACATTCTCATTAACTGGATTAAAAATAAAAACTAGAACTAACTGAAACTGTATTATGTGAAAATATAAAACTATCTGAAACCAATTAAAATTAAAGCAAATACATCCTTCATTTTTGTCTTTGTAAATGTATTTAATACATACTGTAAGCCTTTTATATGGAGGCAATCTAGGGCCATATGCAACAAAAGAAACCTTTGCAAATAAAAATCAAGAAGTGCAAAAAAAAGTAATAATTGCAATTTTTTAAAATTATACATATATCTGCTAAATATTTTTTCCAGAATTGCCTTTACAAAATCTCTTAAGCGAATTGCAATGCTCATTTTGATTTGCTTTTTAGTCAACCGTGAGTTTGCGATCCGGTTTTCTTTTTGCACTTCACTTTTCTGTTTTTTTTTCTGGCCCTGATTTGACAAGGGGGCGTAATCACTGGAACTGGGGCGTATACAGCATGCCCCGACCTGCCTGCAATGAAGCGATGTCATCAGCTGGACACATCGTGACAAAAGGAAATCAGCCATGAATCAATGTCAAAAATTGAATTGAGATTAAGTAAAATATCTGAATCCTTTGTTTTTAAATCATCAAATGAGCATTGCAATTGACTTTAAAGATTTTTTAAAGGTAATACTGGGAAAAATATATATTTTATTTATTTATTTATTTGTTTATTTATGTTTTTTTTTTTTTTTTTTAGATTTTTTTTTTTTTTGCTCAAATCCTTGTTTCTTTTTTTATGTTGCAAGTATATATGGCCCTAGTTTGTCTCCATACTTTTAGATGTAAATCTATATTTTTCGTGCTCCCAGTTGTTTGACCGTACAGCACCTCAGAGTTTGTAATACTGATGTCATTGGCCAGATAAAGCCTGTCCTTCTCTAGTCATACTCGCTATTGCTCCCACAAAAAAAAAAAAAAAACAATGGCTGGACATGACAGCAGCATGGTGACAACATTAAATACGACCCTAGCAGATAGAGCTGTAATCGGGCCATAAAAGTTGGGCCTGCAGGGCCTGAGCTCGACAGGATTTGGCCCAAGCCCGACAAGTAACGTTACATTTTGATTGACAGCTTTTTAAAAGCCCGAACCTGTTTATAGCCCGGCATTATTTAAATGTGCACATGCACACAACTCTCTTGCCTTTTTCATGAATGAGTCGTTTATATGCGTTTTAACATTGTTTATTCATAACAAGGGCTTGGAAGTTGGAACAAAGAAATAAAGTAAGTCCTCTGTAACATCTTAACATCTCAGAACTCTAAATAGACCTATAGGTGCATACACTTCGACTAAATTGGCCAACACACCAATAAAAATATGTCTTTCTTAACCAATTAAATTAAAATAAGTTATAAATTATGACGGGTATTTGACAATAACAAAATTAAGATAAAGGCTCTGTGGGATTTGTTTCGCCACTTCTCTTCACAATCTGGCCTAAAGGCGACAGTGAAGCTGAACAATAAAAGAAAAATGCTAACATTATCCTATATACTCTGGCTACATTATGATTTCAATATATTTATTTTTATTATAATATTTATTTATCATTTTAAAAACCCTTTACTCACCAAGATTAGGCTACTTGTTATTATGGAGGAACATTATTGAATCCACTGTAAATGGCTTTAGCGCAGTCCTGCATACACTGAGCAGCACTAAACACCCTTTCACTGCTGCTGCTACTGGCCAGGATGCATACTGCTCTGGCTAATTTAGCAAGTTTTGGGTAGGATTTTTTGTTCATCTTCCATCAGCCAAGAACATCCATTTCATTTTCTATGACAGCAGTTTTAATGTAGCGAGTGACCGCGTCATCTTCCCTGTCAGCTTGCTGTACATACATTGCTGTTTAGCGCTCTACCATAATACGCACAATGTTGCCAACTATTTTCAATGAAAAGGCGCTAAGCTCTGCCCGAAAAGTCGCTAGATTACGTCATACGTCTATTTGCATATTACTGACCTCATCACATTCTAAGATTTCTGTTTGTTTAACAGCCTATGGTCAATAAAGGGGTATTTATATTTGCACTACGCTATGTATGCATGTCAATTTAGGTTAGGTTAAACTTTATTTGTCCCAGAGAGGAAATTTGTCTTGGGCAAAAAAGGTGCTACAACATTGCTCTAAACAGACAGTAAATATAAATGAAACAAAACAATTAAGAACAAACAGTTAAGAAAATACATACATTTAACAAAATCGATTGCTGTTTGAATACAGTATATCATTATAGATGTGTAGTGAATTTGCAATAGGCTAATCTCTAAGATGTAATAAACTCAGACAAGTTCCGAAACTCTCACTTAAAATATCTGTTATTGTAACAAGAAAATAAAAAACGGTCAAATTGAATTATATTATAAGTAAGGAGAAGCAGATCGGTTTGACTATACAGTGGAAATACCTTCATACTGATGGTGCTAAATCATTTGCCGTCAGTACGTAGAGGGGTGATCTGCTGTCAGGTTGCAGGTGGGAGAGACTGCTGTATGA